TTGGTGCCCAATTATGCAGCCAATTAAGTTATTTGGAATGGGGAGTTCATGGGTGGTTTGAGTAGATGCAAACAAACTTGCCCAATGGACTTTCACCTCTGGAAAGCTGCAGTCAGTTCTGGTGAACCCAGTCCTGCCGTGCATCATGGCAAAGTGAGACTGTTGTCATGCCACCTGATTCAGCTTGGCCTCCTCTAGGGGTGGGGTCCCCCCTTTTGGGGGGTGCGCCTCCTTGTTGGAAGGATTGCAGGGTTTCCCCACAGAATCAATGATGGAGCTAACCAACAAACCTGAGTGCATTCGTCTAATTTATTGCTGTAACAAAACACCCAAGGATGTATAATTCATAAAGACAACACATCCGTGTAGCTCACAGTTCTGGAGGTGTAAGAGCATGGGGCTGGCATCTGCTTAGGGTCTGAAGGCAGAACTACCCCATCCCTTCCAGGCCTCCTTGACTCAAGGACCTCCCAGCAGGCCCCCCTTCTTCACCATCCCACCCCTTCTTCACATCACCACAACGGGGCGGAGCTTCCCACAGGAACCCTTGTAGGACACAAACCAAAGGGAGTAAGCAGAGCATCCCTGAGGAGCCCCAGCAGACTTTGAAATTTCCTCTGGACCAACTGCTCTGAGGCTTGCATTTTAAATTACTCACCAGGAAAGACAATATGCTGTGGGGAGCAGAGATGAGGCCAGATGTGGCCCCAAGGCTCTGGACCCTGGGATCCCCCTGAAGGTTGGGCTGGGTGACTTGCTATGAGGGGCCTACCACCCTCTCTTTGAGGATGGAGCCATCCTAGGCTTCTCCAAGTTGCCTACAGGTGATTAAGAATGGCTTCTGCAGGTATCTGCTGCTCTTAAGGCCGAGGGAGTATATCAAGGGAAACCTGCCTCCCACCCAGCTTTTCTTCCTCCTCTAAGCCCCCTACCATTTAAAAAACCTCTTATTTTAAAATAATAATTATTATTAAAAGATAATTATTTGAACAGTACCAAAGATTTTTCAAAGGAAGGAAGTCTTTTTCCACCCTAGTTTTGCTGTCTCCTGCCAGACACTAAAAGACCTGATAAAGCTGGGTACAGTGGTGCACGCCTATAATCCCAGCAGCTCGGGAGGCTGAGGCAGGAGGATTACAAATTCAAAGCCAGCCTCAGCAATTTATTGAGGCTTTAAGAAACTTAGTGAGATTGTGTCAAAAAAAAAAAAAAAAAAGGGCAGGGGATGTAGCTCAGAGATTAAGTACCCTAGGTTCAATCCCTGGTAAAACAAAGAAAAATGTCTGACAAGAACAATTTTAGAGGAGGAAAAGTTTATCTTGGAGCTCATGGTTTCAGAGGTGTCTCAGTCCATACACATTCGGCTCCATCCCTCAGGGCTTGAGGTGAGGGAGAACATCATGGCGGAAGTGTATGGTGGAGTAAAGCAGGTCAGAACATGGCCATTAAAAAGCAGAGGGAGAGGGGCCAGGATTGTGGCTCAGTGATAGAGCTCTTGCCCAGCATGCATGAGGCACTGGCTTCAATCCCTGGCCACGTTAAAAACAACAAACAAACAAACAAAATCAACTTAAAAAAAAAAAAAACAGAGGGAGAGAGGCTCTTCTCAACAAGTACAAAATATAAATCCTAAAACATGACCCACCTCCTCCAACCACACCCTACTTGCCTACAGCTGTCACCCAGTTAATCCATTCAAGTGGATTAATATACTGATTAGGTTTAGGCTCTTAACAATATCATTTCACCTGTAAACTTTCTTGCAATCTCTCACATGAGCTTTTGAGGGGCACCTTCCATCTAAACCATAACATTCTGCCCATAGCTCCCAAAAGTTCGTGTCTGTTTCATAATGTAAAATACTTTTAGTCCATTTCCAAATGGACTAAAAGTATTTTACATCATGCCACCATCTTGAACAGTAGCCAAGCCCCTAGTGTTAATACTTCTAGGCTTAAGTTCAAGTTCAAAGTCTCCAAAGCATGTTACATATACTCAATAGACATAGGCATATTTCCATTTCAAAAGAGAAAATTTGGGACATAGAAAGAAGGAATGTGACCAAAGCAAGACTGAAAACCAGCTGAGCAAATAAGTCTTGTAGCTCCATGTCCAGCATTTGGGGCACATGGCCTCCTGATGGTCTCTCCAAAGGTTTGTGTAGCTCTGTGCTTATGATCTAGCTGGTTGCAGCCCATATGGTCTCTCTCTCTCTCTTGGATTATTTATGCTCGATTCCTGCAGCTTTCCTCTGCAGACATTCCACAGGATCTCTCAATCTCAGGGATCTCCACTGCAGCTTTGGCTTCCTTCTCACTTCTTCATGTATTGCTCTCTCAGGGGCAGTCTGCAGGGACCCTGACACTGTTGTACTTTACCTGGCCTCCTAGGCCCCCCTTTGAAATCTCAGTGGAAGCCTCCGTAACACTCTTAACTCCAGAATTTTGCATTCCTGAAGAATCAGCGCCCCATGTCTATGCCACCATCTTGAACAGTAGCCAAGCCCCTAGGAACTCTGGTTGCAGTAGCCTGTGAGTATCTGGCTGGCTGAGCAGGGTGAAATTTCCTAGCCAACCTTATGTAAGCCAGGGGCCCTCATAGTCCTTCTCAAAAGGGATTTTTTCTACATTCTTGAGCCTGAGATGGGTGTGGTCTTACCAATTCTTGAGTTGCCTGCAAGCCAACTTTCCTATTATTTCTGGGGAAACTCTCTTTAGTGGTTATAATGTCTTCAATACCACTCCTTCCTAGTCCCAGTTTTACTTGCAGTTTTTTTGTCAAATGGCAAAACTTATTTGACTCTGTTTTTCTTTCTGTTCCTGCTTGTCACAGTTAACTTGGCTAAAAGTTGCTAGCCATACCCATGCTACCCCTCCAAAGGCTGCACTTCCTTGAAAATTCCTCCACCAGATTAATTAGTCCAACATCTTTAAAATTAGCCTCACAGGAAGTCTAAGGACATAGGCAAAATGTAGACAGCTTCTTAGTGAGTACCAACACAAATGGCCTCTAGTCCAATTTCCAGTAGAGTCTTCCTTCTCTTCTGAAACCTCAGGAGCCCAGTCTTTACTGTCCACGGTCCTATTTGCATTCCCGTCTTTTGAACTTCCACCAGAATCACCCATTAAGCTCTGCTTACAATTAAAAGAAAGTTTTTCAACTTGCATCTCTAACTTTTCAAAAATTTCTCCACAAATTCTCAAAAGCCCCATGGTCATGTTAGTCACAGCAGTGACCCCCGTTTCTCAGCACCAGTTTGTGTTTTAGTCAACTTTTTCATCACTGTGATCAAAGACCCAATAAGAACAATATAGAGAAGGAAAAATTATTTTGGGTTTACAGTTTCAGAGGTCTCAGTCCATAGATGGCTGATTCTACTGCTCTGGGCCTGAGCAGAGACAAAACTTCATGGCAAAAGAGTGTGGCAGGGGAAAGCAGCTTAGGACATGGCATCAAGGAAGCAGAGAGAGATTAGAATTTGGGGTCTTGATCAATATCTTAGTTCAACCTTTTTTCTAGGCTCAAATCCTGCATTAAAAAACGTGTTGCTTTTAATGTCCACATTTTATTTCATTATCATAATTTTAACATGTATTATGCACCATTCTTAAAACATAAAAACCTGTAAAGGATAACAAAACTACATCAAAAGAGGAAAAACAAATATCAATGTATTTACCCTTCAGTTTAATAAATAAAACTTAATCAATACTTAACAATGAAGCCCCTTTTGAATTCTCCTCTCTCCAATCACCCCAGAATCACTATACTGAATTTGGAGTTTGTTTCCTCAAATTTTAATTGAATCCCGTGTTTCTGATGGATCACAAGACCCCTCTACATGGGTGTCTCATTCAGCAAACTCAAGTGATTTAATTTGTTTCAAGGAAAATGCAATAAGTAAGTCTGTCTGTCTGTCCATCCATCCGTCCATCCATACATCCCTTTATCCAGAATGCCTCTAGAAGGATATCTATCAGGGACTGGTCAAATAGAACACATCAGCAGCCTGTCTGCAACCCTAGGATATACCAAAGATAATATTTAGATGCTTGGACCATGGATAGTTTTTTTCTATCTGCTTATTTGTATTTTCTAAAATTTCAGCAATGGGACATGGATTATTATTTTTATTTTAGTTTTTCAGTGCTGCGGATTGAACCCAGGGTCTTGTACATGCTAAGTAAATACTCTACCACTGAGTTACATCCCTAAGTACTACCCCTCTTTAATTTTGAGACAGGGTCTCACTGAGTTGTCAAGGCTGGCCTCAAACTTGTGATTCTCTTGCCTGAGCCTCCTAAGTAGCTGGGTTAATGGGTGTGAGCCACCATATCCAGTGGATTATTTGTAATGGTAACAATAAAATACTCTGAGCCTACCTTCTCTTCAACTCTCTTGCTTTCCCTATTTGTGTCAGCACAGTGCAATTATTGTTCATACATCCAGAACCTGGTGGTAGTGTTTGACTTTGACTTGTCCTTCCATCTCTCACATTCTGTCAGTTATTACTGTACCTTGTGGTTATCTAAGTATATTTCTATCTTCCCTGTTAGATTTTAAGTTGTTACCTATTTAGTCTTGTTTCTCCCTGGGGGCTTATCCCATAGTACAGCTCATAAATAGATGATGCAGAGATGATTATTGAACTTTCTGCTTGATGCCCCAGGCTTGACTACATCTTGCAACTGTCACCTGCTAGGGAAACTTCCTCTAAAAATAAGCAGTTTCTGTTTCAGATACTGTTTGCCCTGATATTTACATTACCATCTTACCCCACCCAGCCTCAAACTTAGAAATGTGAATTAAAGGTGGTATTCAAATCCTTAGCCACAGTGCTGACGGTCCCCAGAAGGACCAATGGAGTGATGGAGTTTTGTTTTTGTTTCCCTCGATAGTCTAGCTGCTGTCTCTACATTCGCTGGGACATTCTTGAGTCTATTTCACTTGTCCTTTCATGCTGTTCTTTTTGTCGTTCCCTGGTTTCTCTCTGAGATCAGGTTCCAGATGGCTCAGCAGTGCTTCCAAAATGAATATTTTGACAGTTTGCTGCATGTTTGCAAACCTTGTCACCTTCGATGTTCCACCCCTCCTGTACCATGTCAGCGTTATTGTAATACAAGTAAGTAAGACTGCTTCAGCAGCTATGCGTTGAAGTATTCTATATTGATTATTTTTTTCAGAGAACAAACAATATGGGGAAGATGGTGAGATTTTTCTGAATCAAAAAGAGAAAGGAGACAAAGTGATTTTTCAGACCTGAACTCAATTTTATTCAGTACTGTCAGCAACATAGATTTTTCATCTACTCTTTTAATTAAGTGGTATTTAGAATTTAAAAGTCAATGCTGGTGCTAGGTGCTATGGCACATGTCTGTAATCCCAGTGGCTTGGGAGGCTGAGGCAGGAAGATCTCGTATTCAAAGCCAGCCTCAGCAAAAGCAAGGTGCTAAGCTTCTCAGTAAGACCCTGTCCCTAAATAAATACAAAATAAGGCTGGGGATGTGGCTCAGTGGTCGAGTGCCTCTGAGTTCAATTCCTGGTACCCAGGAAAAAAAAATCAATGCTGATGAATTGGGGAAATTGAATGACAAATAATTCATACTTATGTGATATTATGATATCAGCTCATTCTCTCTCTGACATTCTTTTAATCAAGGTATGACCAATTCAGTGAAAGGAACAAATGCCATTCTCTGGACCTGTTTGGGCCTGAGTTTGACAGTTTCTTTGGCAGTTTTCATGCTGATGTTCTTGCTAAGGAAGATGAACTCTGAACCACTGAAGGATGAATTTAAAAACACAGGTTGGTTTGGGGTCAGTCTTTGAAGTCTGCTTTCAAGAAGGGCTGCTGCAAGTTTCATTTCTTTTTCTTTTATAACATTGACCATTTCATCCGGTTCCTATTATTTCAACTGTGTTAGTGGACAGTAACGTTAGATGCAAGCTGTCTTCATTTGGGCACTGACACCTTCTTTGGGGATCTCCTGACAGTGTCTGCCTTCCCTGAAATTCTTCCCTAATTAATCACTCTATTGAAGTCCTCAGGCTTCCTTGGAAAACATCTTTGACTAAAGTTAGAACATTGATTAAATGTCCTGCTATCAGAAACTGCCGGCCAGGCCTGCTACCATCAGGAAAAGCATACTTGGCAAGATACATGGTCTTGTTTTTTAATACAAATGTGTTATTTGCTTGGGTGAACACTTTACTACTGAAAAATGCTAGAAATGAATAACCAGTTTCTCCTGGATTATTTGAGTAATTGTTTAAAAAATAATTGTTTATTAGGCTGTAGAGAACCAGTCCCAGAGAAGCAATGTTCTGCTTAAGGGCCTCTTAAGATAAAAATATTTCTGTAGCACCTTTCTCCATGTTCTGATTCTCAAACACATAGCAGCAACTGCCCTATTTCTTTACACATTTATTTTCCATGCAGAATCTGTGAAGCACCATCTCATCTGGCTTTGTAGCAGAGTAGGATTGGCAGATTATGGTTTCATGCAATTTATTATTTTTCTTTTTTCCTGGGGTCTGGTGGAGAAGGGAAGAATGAGTTTTTTTTTCAACATAAAATAAAAATTGTGTATATTTAAGGATTACAACATGTTTGGATGTACACATATATAGTGAAATGACTAGTCAAGCAAATCCACAAGACCATTTCCTCAGTTACCTTGAAATCTTCTCTTAGCTAATCTGCGTTACACAGTAGGGTTAACTAGTCATCAAGCTACACTTTAGATCTCCAGATGGATTTATTCTACATAACTGCAATATCAGATCTCTTGGCCAACAGCTCCTGCCTATGGTACCCACTATTCTGCTTTCTGCTTCTATGTATCCAACTTCTTTAGATTTCACATATAAGTGAGGGAATGCAGTATTTTTCTTCCTGAGTCGGCCTCATTTCCAAGTGTCTCTAAATGTGACATTTAGAAGATAAAGTTACATTGTAGAATGCTGGGAAATAGAAAACTTACCTTCACAGGTGTGATTGGCCACAAGAGGACTTCTTATATGATCATAATTATGAGATTCATTTAAAGAAATTTATCTGCTGACCTAAGCTTAAGTCTCTTTACTTCTGTGTTCTAAAACGTCACCAGAGACTGATTTTGGTGTGCTGTAACATATGGGAACTTCTGTCATTTTCATGTGGGAAGATAAGGTCAAAACCTCAATGCCTGCAAAGGTCAAGTGGGTAACAAAGGCAGGTTCTGGGCCAGGTGGTGGCTGTGCCCAAGGGGCCCAAGGCTGGCCTGAAGGTGACAGCTGCTCTTGATTCCAGCCCATTGTTTCCGTGCTGTTTCTATGTTGCCACATTTTGTTCTCTAAAATTTAGTCTAATTGTCCAGATTCACATGTGAATCTCGATTTTTAAATGTGATTGTTACAAGCAAACGCATATGATACTGTCCCTGAGCAAACCATATTTTAGATCCCAGTATGGTGGCCTGTGGTCTGTTAGTTGCTGACCCGCCCTGCTGGGACTGTCATGAAAACAACCCCAGGGGGTTGGGTTAATGTTTCTGTTTCTTGTGTTCAGGCTCCGTTCTGCTGGATGTGGCTAATGCTGACCTGGACAAAAGCAGGACTAGGGAGGACAGGATCCTTCCAAGAAGCCTGGGGTACACAGTAGAAGAATGTACCTGCCAAGACTGTGTCAAGAGCAAACCCAAGGTCGATTCTGACCACGTCTTTCCACTCCCAGCTATGGAGGAGGGTGCCACCATTCTTGTCACCACCAAAACTAACGACTATTGCAAGAGCCTGCCAGCTGCTTCAGGTGTCACAGGGACAGAAAGGTCAACTTCTACTAGATAATTAACCCTTCGACTGGTGTAAAGCTACTCTGAAAATCACTGGTCAGAAGATGATGCTTTGGGTCTCTTTGGGGTGACTGTCAGTTGCTGATACAGTTGCTTTTTATCTTCTAGTTCTGAAAACTGTTAGATTTATTTCCCTAATTCATCTTGGGAGCTCATCTGTGGAAACTTTCTTGGTTTAATGATTAAATTCTTAACTCAATGAAAAAAAAGTACTGCAATCTGTAGACCCCACTGAATTGAAACCAGGGAGGGGGGTCTTTACCCTCCACTCAAACTCCAGAGACAGGCTGGCGAGTAGAGTACGTTTTATTCAAAGCCAGGTTTGAGGAAGATAACTGTTGATTTTCTTTCCCAATTTTCCATCTTCAGGGACTCAGGGGAGTGAAAGGTGGAGCAGGGGACAAAAGGCCGGAAATGTGTGTGTGTAGATTTAGCTAGGCTGTGCGAATCAGAAGCATGCCACACACCCAGCTTCCTTGGTGTCCCTTAGGGCCAGGGACAGGCCCCTGACTCTATTCTCAGTAGGAGGAAATTCAGAAGTTAAGACAATTTGGAGCTCAAAGCGCATCTGCTTCAGACTCACATTTCCATGGTTAGACCACCTCTCTCCTGTACACACTCACACATTTCAGGACAGATTGGATTTTTCTTGATTGTTAAAGGAAAGCAAGGTTATCCTGGGTATTTCTGTGAGCAGGAGAAGTCTACAGTCAGCCAGGCTAATTCAGCACCTGCATGCACAGGTGGTTCTAGGTCTTGTGGGCTTCCAGCCTAATGGGGACATCAAGCATTAATATAATCAAACAGGAATACATGGAGCTGGAAACTGTGATAAATGGTCCTGAGCACCTGGGTGCGTGTCATAATAATCACAGACAACACTTAAGCAGGCTTGCTGATGTACTCAGGACTGTTCTGAGTGCTTTACCTGGACTGACCCATTTATTTATTTATTTAGATTAACTCATTTAATGTACACAAAATACTATGGCAGATGGATCACTATTACATCCAGTTTACAAATGATGATATAAATGGAGCAAAGTAACATAGACAGTAAATAGCTGTCACTGCTTGTGCTGCTATAACAGAATGCCCAATACTGGGTTGCTTATGAAGAATTCATTTCCCACAGTTCTGGAGGTTGGCAAGTCCAAGGTCAAGGTGCTGGTGAGGGCTTCCTTGCTGTGTCTTCATATGGCAGAAGGTGGAAGGGCAAGCTAGCTCAGCAGTGTGGGAGAACTTTCATAGGGGGCTTAATCACCTTTGTGAGGGAGACACTTTCATGGCCTACTCAATGCTTTATGGCCCAACTTTTCCATATTATCATATTGGCAACATCTGAATTGTGGAGACGACATTCAAACTACAGAGGTGGCAGAGCCAGGGTTTAAACCTAAAGCCTAAAATCTATATTTCCCCCTTCTCATCAATTGGATTGCATTTGAGTTTTCATCACTTTGCACTATTTTTGTCATTCCTGGGGGAGGGTTCCCTTCCTAGGGTTTGTGCAAAGGACTTTGGGTCTTATGGAAAAGCAATACAATGCGACATGCCCTTTGGTCATCTACTGGCTTTGGTCATTATTAGGATGCCTACTGGAACCATAGCATAGACCCTGAAGGTCTTGGAGCTGTGGCTTTTGTGCACATTTGGAATATGGGGGAAAATAGAGGGAACTTTTGCACATTTGTGGCCCATCACTGATTCCGTGAGGGCCTTCAGGGTTGAGAATACAGGATAATGATTAAAGAATTAGCTTCTGGAACCAGACTGTGTGGTTTTGAATCCTGGCTGTTTACTAGGATATCACAGACCTTGGAAAACTGGGAGAAAAGCACTTAACTACACCAAGCCTCAGTTTCCCGACCTGTATAATGAGGATAACAGTAGTATATACTTAGGAAGCCAAGGCCAGGAGGTTCACAAGTTCAAAGACACTCATGGAAAATTAGGGAGATCCTGTCTCAAAAAGTAAAAAGGGCTAGATATGTAGCTCAGTGGTGAAGTGCTCTGGGTTCAATCCCTACCCAGTGCTTGAAAAAAAAAGTTCACATATATATACAGTTTGTAAAAGTGTGTGCTTTTTAAGTAGTTGTATCAGTTACTGTCACAGACATCAGGGTCATCTAGTCCCCTTGAGGTCTGGCAAATACTCTTTCCTGTTATGTGGCCTCCGAGTGTCAGCTCCAGCATCTCACAGGCTTTCTCACTACTTCAAGCTTTCCATGAGTTTAGATTTCTCAAACACAAGAGTTGTTGCCTTTAACCTCTTGATTCTTGCCATCCAGGCTGATTCCCAGAAGGAGGAATAAGACTCATGGGGGAGGCTGCTGGTGGAAGAGGTAAAGCACAGTGGGAAAGACAGACTTTTTCTTCTCTACTCACATTCAACACAGAGCACTTCTGGGACCTGATGTGTGGGCCTTGGTCCCCACACACCACGCAATCTTCCAGCAAATGCCAGGTGGGTGTTACAGGGCCAACTAGTCTTTTTTTTTTTTTTTAAGAGAGAGAGAATTTTAAAATATTTATTCTTCAGTTTTTGGTGGACACAGCATCTTTATTTTATTTTTATGTGGTGCTGAGGATTGAACCCAGCGCCCCGCGCATGCCAGGCGAGCGTGCTGCCGCTTGAGCCACATCCCCAGCCCCCAACTAGTCTTATAAATCAACCTAATCCTGACACTGATCCTAACTCTACCTGGTGATAATGTCAGATCCCATAGGCTAAGAGTTTAGTCCCACAAGACTGCTCCCCACTTCATGCCAATCAAGTTTCAGACTGTGTTTCTGATTTACTGATAATTTGGAGTTTTTACAACCCTCCTCTTTATGTTCCTAATTTGCTAGGATGGCTCACAGAACACAGGGAAACACTTTATTTTCATTTATTAGTTTATTATAAAAAATACAGATGAAGAGTCAAAGGGGCAAGGTGCTTTCTTGGGATGTGCAGCCTGGAAACAGCTTGAATCTATTATAGTTTTATAGAGCTTAATCTGCACATCCTCCCTGCCCCTTCCCAGAGGTTGGGAGGTAAGGCTGAATGTTGGAACCTTCTGATTACCTGGTGTTTCTGGTGACCAGCTACCCTACCCTTAGGCTGTCAAGGGATCCTACTCTATTACCACATTAAAGTACACTCAGGTGTGATCAAAAGGGGCTTGTCATGAGTAATAAAAGACATTTTTACTGCTAAGGTTTTAGGGGCTCTGTGACAGGAACAGGGGACAGACATATTTCATATTATACCATACATAAATGAGGACTTTAATAAATTACCTTGCCCTAGTGCCCCAGGGGAAAGGCACAGGGAGCTAGAGAAGATTTGAGACAGCATCCACTTGACACCTGCACGAAGCAGGGGCGTGCTGCCTTCCAGGAGCTGTGGAGGCAGGCCACGAGGCCAAGCTCTCCAGGTCTCAGACATGTGGACTCTCCAGGTCTCAGACATGTGGACTCTCCAGGTCTCAGACAGACATGTGGACTCTCCAGGTCTCAGACATGTGGACTCTCCAGCAGGAATAACAAATTAACAGCTATAAGGTATAACTTTAAAGATGGGAGAAATAACTTCATCAACTAAACACAAGGATTCCCATTTCTACATTCTCTCACAGTCCCTACATGTAGGTATATTTTGACATGACTGTAACCATGGCTTTCTAGACTACTTTGCTTGGGCTTTTTTCCACTTAATGTATTATCACTGGCATCTCCCCACATTTCTGTTACTGGACCCAAGCTGGTCTGCTCACCACCTGAAAGCTTACACTTGAGAGCCGAGAGCTGATGAGAAGGAAATCAGGTCCTTGTTAAGGGCCTGTACACTAAGATGGAGGGGGTGGCTACCTGCCCCCATCAAAGTCTGTCTTAGGGAACTCAGGTATATAAAAGTGCCAGTTTTTTTAAATATATTTTATTTGTAAATTGATCTTTTATTTTATTTATTTACATGTGGTGCTGAGAATCGAACCCAGGGCCTCCCACATGCCAGGCAAGTACTCTACCACTAGGCCACAACTCCAGCCCCAAAAGTGCCAACTTTTGGAAGGAAAGGAGGTGCAGGCGGTAATGGTTAGGAAGCCTATGTGCTGAGTGGTGTCTTGGTCATTTGAGGCATGTCTTCCCTGCCCCAATACAGCAAGCAACCTTGATCTCCAGAGATTAGATCCTGTAATTCTTTAGACAAACATAACTTTACATGCTTTTTGTAAGCTGATGCACAGAATTAAAGAATAATAAATTACACATTCTGATGTTATCTGAAGGTCACAAGATGTTCTTGGTTCTGTTAGTCTAAAGAAAGATGCTTTAGCTGTTAATACTTTCATCATTTAGGTTCATCTTCTCCTTAGAATTTAGAGTGATGGGGAAAGGGAGGGGAAATCAAAGGGTGACCTGCAAAGAGGTGGCCAGAGTTACATTTCTAGTCTTTAAAAATCTATTATTTCTAGTTAGGAATCTGCATAAGATTCCTGTGTGCTGGGCCATGATTTGCTTATTCTGCATTTGGGCTTTGGAACTTTCCAACTGCTAAATCAAAATGGGCACTGAGAAATCTCTGACACAAAGGGTTTATTGAGGCATCACAGATGCTAGCCAGAAAGGAAGGACTGGTCCTGGGACAAGTTCCCTCGGCTACCAGCAGTGAGGATAAGTAGGAGTTGGAAAAATGTCTGCTGGATCTAAAAACAAACAAACAAACAAACAAAAAACCCTAAAATATTTAATAATGGAAAACATTGTGGAGGTAGATATAATTATTTATGTTGACCCTCCATTGGCTACAGATATGAGAGGGGGCAGGATGACACAAAGCAGGGGAACTCCCCCACCAACTCTCCTTACTTCCATTCTCCACCCTTTGTAACTTAGAATATTTCAGAATTGTTTTTTTTTCCTTTTTTGGCAGTATTGGGGATTGAACCCAGGGTCTTAGGTATGCCAGGCAAGTGCTCTACCACTGAGCCACAGCCCAACCTCAAATCTTTTTTTCTTATCACCACTTTTTTTTCTATTAGAAACAATGCTGCAGAGCATCCTTCTTCAAAGAGTCTTGAGCCTTTGCTGAGTTGTTTCCTTAGAGGTAAATTCCTGGTGTATGTGTAAATATATATGTAGAGGCAAAGCAGCGGGAAGACCTTGGGGGCTCTGGGGCCATAGAGAAAGGGGCTAGAATTCTGGCTCCATTTCTTAGTGGGAGCTTGGTCAAGTCAGTGTTTTCAATTATAGATCAAGACTTTTAGTGGATAAATGGAGTAAGTCTCTGTCAGCATTAAAAAAAGAAAAAAACCCAGAAGATAATACATTATCTACAGAATCGTTAAGCATCTCAAATGTTCTTATGTGTGTACTGGGTTGTGATGTAAAAGACATTTTTTTTTTTTCCTGGATGTGAACAAAACAACCTGGCTACTTCTTCGACCTCGCTGGATATCCCTTCCCCACCCATAAAATGGGGCAATGACGGTGCCCCCTGACTGCTGGGCAGGCGCAGCATTTGGCTTTACACTGGACCCATCCACCTTCTCCTGCTCCACCGCCACCACCTAGTCCCAGGCATTGTTACCTCTCGCCAGGACAATGCAGCAGCCCCCTAACCAGCCCTTTCTCCCCTGCCCATTACAATGAGTTCTTCTTCCAGGAAACGTGAGGCCTTGCCACCAGTTCACACTGTGTCACTCCGCTGGGTTACTAACGAGGACCTCCATTCCCTCGCCCGCCTGGAGGTGGGCAGGAAAGCGCCAACCACCCTGCGGGGCAGGAGCTCCCGCGTCCTCGGGTCCCCGCTCTCCCCTCGCTCACCCTCCGGTGAGGCTCCCTCTCACCGCGCAGGTACGCCCCCCCCCCAGTCGCCTCCTCAGAGAGGCCCTCCGGGACTGCCCTCTGCCCGTGTCCACGTTTAGTCCACGGCTCTGTTTCCTTCGCGATTGACACCCCTGTCAGGATCCCTGTTTTTTCCTTACTCATGGCCTTGCTCTCTGGCGCCAGCACCGAGGTGTGAGGCGCAGCAGGCGGAAAAACGCACCCTCACCGGACCTCCGCTCACCGG